GGATGTAAACCTGTGGTAGTAGATTCCAGAAATCCATTGCGCATTATCCGCGCCCAGTCCTGGGGTTCTAAATTATGCCCTAACCAAGTATGAACTTGGTAGTAAACACGGTTGAAATCAGAGGCATAATAGAACTTGCTTGTCTCTGGTTGAATGTTGGTGAGCTGCTGCACTTGCCGGTGCACGAATTGTGTATGACAATGATGATCAATACTGTCTGGTCCAAATTTGGAAACGTTTGAAGTGTTTTTAAAAAACTTTTTTGTCCTACTGAATAGAGCGCAGTCGTGGTGTCACAACTACTCACCACGAGCAGATACAAAATGTGTTTTTTCAAACGAGGCTATTTATCAAAACTTTTGGAGGAGTATATCCCAGTTTTTAAATTTCCATTGTCAACTTTTTAAAGAAAATTTCTTGTCTATGAAAGTACCTCCAATTAAAATGACCAGTAAATCTATATCTTCTCCTATTATAACTGCAGGGTTTCAATGTTTTGACTCTTTTAGAGCAGTGTCAATAATATGAACATTGGCATCATTTGTGGCCTGTTTTATCTTGATATCAACAGCTTTAATAAGTTTTTTTTATTATTTCAATTATGTAAGAATTTTGCCTGGCTAACAAGTGCAACATCGTTTCGTCAAAACAAACTTCGTACGTTCTCCTTAGCGGCTCCATGGCTTTTATATTTTTAGAAAAAAAATCTGAATATCCGTGAAATAGAACAACAATGTCTGAAATATAGTGCTTTTGTATGTTCTTGACGTATTTAGCAAAAATAATAGAAAGTGCATCTTCTCTACTCCAGACAACGCGATTCAGAAGAAAGAAGTGTATGTCACATTATTTTTATTGAGATCAGAATCGTCATATACCATGAAGCTTTGAGGTTTTTCTCATTCCATCATTATGAAATAATGCTATTGTGTTTGCTTGCTTACTGTGATTATTTGAAAAAGTATGAATGGATCTGCTGAAACTTTAGAATCATTATATTTGGTAACATCGTTAACAATTGAAAACGTTAATACCGTATCAGAACGTATGAACTTTTAAATTGACCCAGTGATTTTTGTCATAGATTCTAATTCAATTCCATAAGGCAATTTTTTGTTCATTTCCAACCTTTCCAGAAGCTAGCGATATTAACTGTGTCGGTTTTGTAAAGGAATTATGAAGTGCTTCAAGGCTAAAAGAGCAAAACGCAAATACAGTAAGCGAAGGCGAAATCGGCAATACAACAAATATCCGGCCTAAAATATAACCAAACAACGGTAAAGCAACTTTATATTTTATATTAATTTTTTATTGTGCAATATTTTCGATAAAATACCAAAAAAAATCCTGTATTCTGTAAGGAAGTTGGCTTGTCGTTAATGTAGTTCATGTACAGTCACTTACTTTGGTTCTGTTTTATTCATCAAAAGCATTGTTAGTGGAAGTTGAAAGGTTTCTTGAAAATATGCTACAAACAAGTTCGCTTTATTCGTGACTGAAGTAACAAAAACCTTATTTAGAACTATTATTTTATTGTCAAACCTCTGTATTATTAGTCGCCTTCTAGCTTAACTGGCTACGGACCACCGAAAATACACGTTTTCCATTAATTTATCTCTTGGTAATTGTTGGTTTACAGAGATTGAGCTATTACAGTTATTAGCAACGGTTGTTTTTAATATTTCATATTTGAACCACTACTTTGTGAACGACGGCACATGTTATTGGCAACTTACCTCACGGTAAAACTAATGGATATTTCTAATTCAATTTTCGATTGGATAAATGAATGTTTATTTGTTCTTCAGTAAAATTTAATTTCTCTTAAATCTTCCTATTTGTTCAACTAATCAAATTTATCTGAATAACGGGCACTTTTAAAATGGGTGTTTTAATAATTTGTTTATTGGAATGAATCAAAAAGTGCCATTTTCCGATTAGAGGCGATGATCATAAAGAAGCACTTTTGTTCAGTGTTCATTTGTTTTACTTTTACGCACGGACTTTACCGAACAGTGTGCGATTTAATTGAGTAGAACTCAAAAAGCTGTCTATTTCTCCCTTTTGACGGTTAATTTCCCTTTAGCTCTCAATATAAGGAAACTTTACTAGATTCCCTATAACTTCCAGTACTTCTAAAATCGAAATTCACTGCTTTTAATTTTCACAGTACGACCATTTCTGGTGCGGAGTTGCAAAGGAAAACCATGCACAAAAAGAAGTGTCCATTTTAGTCAACAAACAATGTTGCAAATTTATTACCAACTGGGAAGCTATAAACGAACGGCTAATA